CGTTAACTTCAGTTTGCCAGAAGCCGAGCCGCTCATAGTTTTTCTAAAAGATGTACTCTAGCTCGAAATGAACACTAATCGAAATGTTTCGACAACTAACAGTGGTATTGTTATTGACGTCGTTTTTCAACAATTTTTAAATACTTTGAAATCACAAGTATATGTGTCATACTTTAGTTTTCATAAATCTATTGTCTCCGCTCTTCCCCAAATTGAACAAAAATATTTATTTTTGATAAAAAACTACATGACTCTTAGTGTTAATTAAATAAAATTTTCATGAAAGATGTAATTATTCGATAGAAAATTATTTCCAGTCATAACCGATTCATTTCTTTCAGGATTAAAATAACTATTGTGTATTTACCATGATAACAAGTCAGATATTACACATCATATGCGACTACTGTAAGACTCGTTTCTTTTTTTATTATTATTTTAAAGCATTTTGAACACTAAAAAGAAGTTTTTTTTTCCGGATTGGTGTCACGATTAATTATCACTTTACAGAAGCTGAAGAAACACCTCATTCGTGAAGTACAAGAGTGGTAGTTTAGGCACCCATTTCTGAGAAGCTTCCTGGGGGGATATTATTATTAGATCTCACCTTCATTTCGTTAGAGGAAATATCTCACTAGATTACTATATGCAACTGAAATTTCAATTTAGAATCAATGGTTTATTAACCCTTTAGAAAAAAAGCAATATCCCTTAATTTCTTTGAAAGGAAATTCTGAAGCGATTCAATAGCTTTTTAAGAACAGTTATTTAAGAGAAACGATATATTTTTAAATATACATTTTGCAAACTTTTTTTGTGTCAAAAATAGCTCGTCTTACTTTTTTTCAAGTGAAGCATACTTATTTAAATATTATAAAAACTTGTAATGAGCTAATAAGTAATAATATTAGTTGTGAGAAACATGGCTATATATATACAAATATCAGCTTAATCTTGAATCCTTGTATCTCTTCCTTTTGCCCTCAAAAATGTTCTACTTAATATGACAACATCCTGCCGTCCTATTTAGAATTTACGTTTCTTAGCTTCCGTTCTTACGCTGCTGAACAAACTGATGTATTCAAACTGTTCCACGAATATCAACGTACTTCTTCCCTCTAACTTTACGAATTTTAGTCAACTGTATAATTTTTTTTTTATTTGATTTTGTCTATTTCATTGATTCACGTTATCATTACGTGACTGAAAGCTCGTTCTTTATTTTGAAAAAAGCCAAGATCCTGAATTTCGCTCGTGTTAATTCCTAATCCAATTTTAAAATTAGAAAATTTTAATATTGGGAATCATGCCATCGTAATAAATTCTTTTCGCTTTAAAAACAAGAATAAAATAGGATAAAATGACGAATTTGAACGGTATATAGCAATATTATTAAAAGCTATTCCGGAATATATTTTTGTGGAGTGACATTGTTGAGTAAGATGTTTATAAATCGAAGACCGTAAAATTCGGCGTATAACGCGCACTTTTAACCGCAACAAATAAGATCAAGTGTGTATGTTACACGCCGGATATAAAAATGAGAACTTTAAAATTAAAAAGAAAAGAATAGAAAAAAAATCAGACACTTCTACACATATATCAAATACTTTTTAAATTAATAATTTTTTAAAAGAGAAATGACATTCTTTATGAACTTAAAGGGATGTAGTTCTAGAAGAATACTATTTTTTTCTAAAGCTTGGGATAATACCTTGAATAAATTATTGAAAAACATAAGAGTACTACACATGTTCATTTTAGGTTTCTTCGTAAAAAAAAGGGAGGGGGGGGGCGTTGTATGACGAATATACCTAAGAACTAAAAATTGTGGTTTGAAAGTACGCAGGAAAGTACATCATACGGAGGATTTTACGGTACATGTTTAAAAATTCTAACTTTACTCAAAAAATAAATAAAAAATACCCTTCGTACCCCCAAATGAGAAATATTTGTATTAAGATCCGAGGTCACAAATCAGTTTTAGTTTAAACAGCTTTCCTTGTATAGGAATTGCTTTTGTATCATCCAGATTGACCGTCATTAATGTTGTTTTATTTTATGAATCACTGACTGTGTTTATCTTTCATACATAGCAATATAAGCTAGAATAGAGACAGAAATTTGAGGATTATTTCTTTTTAAACATTGCTAAGCATTACTGCGTTTGAACCAACATGTGTTGCCAATGCTGGACCGAAATCATCTGTAGACGAAAAGCAAATCTCGAGCTCATCAAGAAATTGTAACTAGCAAATAAGTACGAATTTAAAGGCGGTGGAAAGTAATTTTATAAATTAGCTCTTATAGTAAATTATAGTTTAAAAAAACTAAGAAACACGCTTTTTAAGTTTTTTAAACTATCATTTATTTCCATTTTCAGAAAAACTGGGCAGTTTTTTATATTATGGTAAGAAAGGGCCGATGCAACCTTTCCTTTTTCACATAAAGAAAATTTTTTGTTTGTTTGTTGTATTTGTATTAACCATGGTGGTTTTCGCTTTAGGGTTGTAACTTTATCTTTTAGTCACCAAATCTGGAAATGGGATCTGGAATTAGTCGCCAAATCTGCAAATGGGATATCTTTAAACCTGATCGGGACAATGGAACAAAACTATTAAATTATTGTATTGTCATCAGTCCTTGGCGAGTGTGCAAAATTTCGAATTAATCTGACCTTTAAAAGTGGGTAAAAATCGAGTTCAAAAATTCCGTTACACACAGGTGATGCTTATAAAAAGCGTGTTAAAAACAGTAATCCTTTGACTGTCATTTTTAGCAGTGGTGTACACAAAAAATGGGGTTTGGGGGGTTGAAATCTCAATTACACACCAATAGATTTTTTTTTAATTTTTAGTATTAAGATTAACAATTTTCGCGCCAACTTGTAGTTTTTTTTAAATGAAAACCCCTTTCATAAAAGTAGTCCGTGTATGCCATTGATTCTTAGTTTTATATTGATACGGCGATAACTACGCCCCTGCTCCGAGGTATAATCTCGCTAGTCAGTGGCGCACACAAGGGGGTTGTCCTAGGGTCCGTACGCCACCCCCCAAAGCCCTTGAGTTTTTTTCGATTGATGATAATTCTATATAAAAACGTAAAATTTAATTAAGTATTTGCAGAGAACAATTTATTTTATTCACTAAGACTAATTATTTTTTACTGTTTTTTGCTCACAAAATCGACAAAATCATAAGAATCAATTGATATTGTCTTGAGGTATGATACGAGTTGAGGGACTTTCGACCATGGACCTCCCCTTGAAAAATTTGTGTGCGCAACAGTCTCTGGTAAAAATTAAAAATTTGTTGGTCTGGGGGGGGGGGTTGATATCCAAATCCCACATTTGCATGCGCCACTGAATCCAAAAATAAACAGACCCAAGACTTGTTTTCAACACCGTGCAAAGTTAATGAAAGAAAACACAATTTCATTATTAGTCAGTTTTCATTTTTAGTCTTTTTCAATTGCTTCCCATGACGAACAGGCTTTCCTATGAAACCCGCATTTTGCGTAACTCAGTGGGCGTTTCGTTTTTCTGCTAGAAGATTACAAAGTGCAAACCCTGGAGGCCTTACAACACCAAATTCCGTTTCTGATTAACGAAGAAGCCTTTAAAAAGTACCAATCAGTTCCTTTAATCGCCGAAAACCGACCCTGACTCGGCGGGCCCAGCCTTGAAAATTAGAGCGGATAGAAGATTAGAGCTTCTTCCCACCCTCTGAAGCGACCTCCACGCTTATTTATCTACCCTGCTACCCACCCAGATCGCTTCATTTCGGTTTAACGCAAAGCACATGTTCGCAGCTCCAGTAATTCAAACGGAAAAGTAACACTAATTGTGAACACTTGCCATTAACAAAACAGAAGAATTTATTGCCCGTCATGCCCGCTGTGATAATTGCCGTGCCCCACCGTAATGATAGCCGACTAATAAAACAGCAGGTCTTAAAAAGAAGTTTCCGGTTGTGAGGAAAGAAAAAGGGGAAAATATCTTGCTCTGAAGTAATGAATCTCGACTCGTAACCCTCTTTTTTTAACTTCTTTTCCGTAACATGTTTATTTTTTGAAGAAATGAAGATAAACCAGAATAACTGTGTTGGTGAAATGGGAATGGACTTTTTTTTTCTTATACAATCTTTTGTAAAAGAGTCTAAAAACAATGATTCTGAATCACTGTGCAGCAGCACTTGTGTGTGCCGCCAAATTTTTTTCAAATTATTTATCATTCTCCGAGAAAAAAATTTGAAAAATCCAGAACCGTTTCATTTGGCCGTTTAATAGAAGTAAACTATTCAAAAAATTGTTAATGACCATTTGACTATACTAGAGGAGAGAGTTTTAATTACTTTCCAAATTTAGATATAATAAAATTTGTTTGGGTTTGTAATCCATTTGAGATTATGGATACTTCTGTGTATGAATTAACTTTGAAGAGGAAAAAGTTCTGTTAAGTATTATGCCTAATTATATTTAATAACAAGTAATATAAGAAATTTAAGTCAATTCCTACTTAAGAATACAAAGAAAAATTTTAATTACTTTTTATTAAATAGTTACAATTATTATAAATATGTATATCAGTAGCGCGCACAAAAATTTTTCAAGGGGAGGGGGGTCCATGGTCGAAAGTCCCCCAACTCGTATTATACCTCCAGACAACACCAATTGATTCTTCTGATAAATTATTGTATTAAAAATTAGCATTCATTAATAAAGTAAATAGTTAATTACAAGTAGTTAATCAAATTTTACGTTAAAAAAAGGTTATCAATCGGAAAAAAAAAACTCAAGAGCTTTGATGTATATACATATGACAGAATCACAATATTAAGTGGCAAAATAGAAAGCGATTTTCCTTTCATAATTTTCCATTTTCCTTTTTATATATGGTGTTGGGCTACTTTTTTGTTTATTACAATTTATTCAAGATTTAAATTTAATTATTCTAATAAAATAATACAGTAAAAAATAAATCTCATTCTTAGAAATTAGGCCATCCCAGGTGGGATTTGTACTCACGACCTTTGGATTAGAAGTTCAACGCGCTGTCCATTGCGCTGCAGGAACACAGCGAATGTTTTTCCTTTCTATATATGCTGTTGGACTTATTTTTGTTTGTTACTATTTATTCATTTTTAATTTAATTAATGAATTAATATTTGAAAAACTGTAGTAAGATCAAGTGTCATCCATTACAAGTTTAAAAAGGTGTATTTGAACTTGAATGGATGAATAGTAAGTATTTTATAAACGACTGAAAAAATTTGAGGGAGAGAGTAAACTAGTAGTAGGAATTGAAAGAAAAAAAAAGGGGAAAATCTTTTTTTTTTAATTAATTTTTGAAAGTGTAATCATTTTTTTCGGACATCCTATATATTTTTCAATATTTTATAAATATACTAATTTTTCATTTACCTTTTTACCAAAAAAAATCACCTCCAAAAAAGAATAAATGAAAACTTACTTAAATGTGAATGGCTGAAAATTCAAACTATTGAAAACAGTAAAAAACACACAAAAATATATATAAATATAAATACATTATTTTAGAATAATAAGCAGTTAAAATACAAATGCATATAATTGAAAATATTCTACATGTAAATATTTAGTTTCGCAGTTTTGTTATTAGTTTAGTATTATTATTTTGTCAAATAAGCTGTATGTATTGATGATGATGGCATTTATTCCATCATTTATGGGAATTTTTAAAAATTTATATATCTTATTTTTAATTTTCAAAAGCGTTCTCTAGTATTAGTGGAAAATTTTGTTACAATACAATAATATATTCTATTATCTTTTATACTGTCTTATTTTTGCGGTATAACGTTCTTTAATTCACCATTTGGCCAATGTAAATACTGTGATGAATACAAAATTTGGGGAAAAGTAAAAGTATCAGATGCATTCTTTTCCAGATTTCAAAAGATAAATGAAAATTTTTTTGATTACATTACTTTTTAATATTTCTTTACAGAATTAATTGAACTATCTCTTCATGAAAAAAAAAGCAGATAAAAGAGACATATAAACAAATGAAGGTCTTATAAGATCGTAAAAATTGGGAAAACCATGCGTTTATTGGCTTCCTTCATTTAAAATTCTCCTTTTTTGTGCTTCTATCAATACACGATGATCAAATATTCACGATATGCCCCTTTTATCATTAGATTTTCCTTGAAATGATGCATAATTATTGAAATAAATAATCACAAATTGACCCTTAGACAATTACAAAAAGATTAAAACGACACTTTATCCTCTTGCGTCTTTCCCTCTACATCAATTAATGTCATTTTAAGTGATCGCAGATTGCGTAGTAGTATTTAGTATAAATGTTGCTGTAAAGGAAATATTTTCTGGTAAGAAATATAATCTTCAACACCTGAAACAACAAAATATTTTCCAAGAACTTTATTGTTGTTTTTATATTATCATTGACATAGATGAAGTTTGATAGGAGCTCTGTGTGAAGCTATTCTAAAAAAATCAATGTGTTCTGCGACCTAGACATTACAGCTGCCCACGAGGTAAAGTATGTTGTAATAAATTTGAAGGCACTTTCAAGGATGTCACATTATGACATCACTGCCACGTAAACACGCGAAAAACAAAAGGGAAAAGGCGCACCTTTTGTAAAAATTGAATGTTAAAACACACATGCAAGGTTTACTCAGTTTGGCTAGTTTCCGCTTTATTGGCATTTTTTTGGGTGTGGAATTTTTTCATGTGTCTAGGTTGAAAAAACAATAATTGAACTTTTCAGCTTGGAAATTTTAAAGTAATTGGATACAATTTTAAATTTTCTGACATGATTTGTCTGTAATGACACTTTATATTTTTAATTGAACATATGTAAGCATTGATTTCTGTTTTTACGGCTGTGGAACTCGTTTTTATCAAAGTGAGTTCTTGTTCATTTTTTAGCATTAAACCTGTCATTATTTAATTGCACATTACGCATGACAACGATATGTCATCATTTATTAATTTTATTACTTTTAAATTGATAATTTCTTTTTTATTACTTCAAATATTCTATTTATTACTTTTTAAATTTAATTAATAATGCATTAAAATGGTAAAATAAGATGTTCGTTTTAAATCTCATACTTCTGAGAGTGAGTGTTAGAATAACGTCGCACTTTTGAAGCTGCACGAGGGTTGTTGGCGACGGACCTCGTAATTTCGAACCATGGTTAAATGACGAAGACGATACCTCTCTCCTAACTTCCACACCACACCACACCAATGGAAGAATATTTGGACCTCGACAGATTAAACACAGGGCGGATCTACCAGCCGCACTAGACTCGAACTTATATTTCAGCTACAAGTCCGTGACCTTGACCACTAAACTACCGCGGCGGCCATCCCATAATTCTGAACTACGGTCAAATTGCGAGGATTACATATATAATAGCCAACACATTCTTTAGAGTTCTGTACCACTTGATATATGAAAATTCCAGAGTGTTTGAAATATTTCCAAGAATCATACACAAAATCCATCATTTCATATGCTGTTCTTTAGGACCGCTTGTGAATTTATAACTCCTTTATTAAATTTCTGATTTATTGTAGATCAAATAGGTCCCACTCTGATATGAATGTGGGCCATATAAATACGATTTAAAGCTTATGTGGGCAGTGAAACATTTCTTAGAAACATACATTTCTTTCAAAAAGAACTGTGGGGGGAAAAAACAATATTTATCAAACTTACGACTAGACTGGCAATAGTAATAGATCATTTACGACTATCATGGTCCGTTATAAATAATTACGTATAATTTAAAGCTGTGTAAAAATTTTAAGCTTATTTTTAAACTGTATCTATTACGAAAGCTATTTCTATGCGTATTACAAATGTGAAAAATAAATAATATATACACACACTAAACGTGTGAGTGCGAATTTGAAATATTTATTGTAAACAGAAACAGTGGCGTATACAAGGAGAGTTTAGGGGTTCACCCCTCATAGACCAACAGATCTTTAATTTTTACTATAGTGATTACCCCTTGGAGTATGCACCCCCCCCCTCATACAGATTTGTGTAGGCCATTAGACAGAAACGTTAAGAATTAAGGATATGAACTATTTAGGTACAGTAAATATTTAATTTTTTATAAGGAATTAATCTTAAAATAAGCATCATCATCTAGATATAAAAAAGATTTTTTAACAAAAAAAAGTTTTTAAATATATAAATTGCTGAGCGCAGCTAATGTAAGAAGCTTAGAGCTAAAAAGTTTGATAGGACACATTAATCAAAGCAATGGATGTAAGCTTATTAAATTTCAAAATGAAAGACTTGCCGCACTTTTTAATGCATAATTTAGCGTATTTTCCCATGAGTTTTTTCAAATGCAGTTTATTTTCGTTGACTTTTACTGGATCTTTATTTTTGTTTCCTTGATATTTCATATATATATATATTAACTATCTCCGCTAAATATAACCTCGTTATAAGCTTTACGAGTTCTTTTAAAAAATATCAGAATACTACTTGTCATTTCCTCTAACATCATGAAGGATGAATGAGCAGCAAAAATGATTGATAAGGACGTCTCCAAAATGTCTTGTGCATTGAAAAGCAAACTAGTTGGGAATAACGAAAAAAAGCAGCTAATGCAGAAAAATGGTATGACATAGTAGTTTCCTTCTCTCCTCCCCTCCTCGTAATCTTGCTTTGCATATTCGCCCATCTTTTTTCTGTTATAGAAATAATGTTAAATCTGTTTTTAATGTCGAGTTTGGAAAGTTTTATCGTTAAGTAAGTAAAATTTATATATATAAATCTATTTCCCCCCCCCCCAATTTTTTATTTTCTTAGTACAGTACACACAATCCCAAAAAGTCGGCCTAATATGGACCGAAGGTTGGCCAAGTTTGTGAAAATGCCGGGTTATCGAAAATGGGATTAAAAAGAATAAGTACGAGGGTTTCCTCAGATTATATTGTAGTGCACTTGTATGTATTGTTTGCTTGAGAATACAACAAAAATAAACTGCCTAAATACCCTTAAACAAAGGGAAAGGGATGAAGGCATAAATCATTTACTACATGAAAATGAAAATTAATGAATGCATAGCACACAGGCGTGGTGGGCATTACGTCGATCGCGATCGACCGGTGGACTACTAAGACATTTTTGGGTGACCGCCTGAATATTTTATCAGTTAGTAATTATTAAGGAAAATTAAAGATTGGCGGACAATACGCAGACTAAGTCTTCTACTGACTATATGATGGATCTATACGCGTCCTTCCACTAACCCTCTTGGGAAATCTTTGGGCTATGAATATCAACAACCCTTTTTGAAGAAGAAACCGTGATATGCAGATTAAGTCTATTATATATAGTTCAGGTTCGCTTGCTAGAAGGTAGTTAGATAGAAGAGAGATAAAGAGATAGTTATATAGAGAGGAAAATTGATATTTAATTGAAGTTACCAAGATTATACAAAGCTAAAACAAAACAATTTTATTAGGATCTCTGGTGTAGCTAGTTCTGAGTGGGCCCTGTATCAATATTCCTTCGTGGCTCTTTTTTTAGATACGAGAGCCCTGTTAATAGGACAGTAGTTACACATGTTGAGGCCCCTATAGCTTGGGGAAACTATATCATTGATATGACTGATACGGCGGAAGCTACGCTCCTGATTAGAATGCATTACGCACACAGTCAATTTAACATTTTGTCTTTATTTACTTGAGTAGCAACTCTGATATCCTTTATTAATCCTAAGATTACAGCTTGAGTCAGAAAAAATTCATATTGATCCTAACCAATTGTCTGAACTTTGTGTCGTACCAATTTCGGCGCTAGTTTGATATCATGGGTCTACACGCCAAGTCGTTGTTTATGTTCGCCAAGATGGGCGATTACATTACAATATGGTTACCTTCAAATTTTTATCATCTGGCAATGTAGTTGCCATGGAGATATCGTATATCACAGTTAATTTTTTATTGGTTTTTCCCGTGGTAACCCTATTAATTTCCAGACGATTATAATTCGATTTCTTACAAAATTTAATAATTTTCAATTACACATT